TTATAGCTAGAGATAGCTCACATTTTCTACAATAATAGCATTGAGTGCAATATGCCAAGGGACTGATTAATTTTTTAAGGAGCTGTAAGCACGACCAAGCTAATAATACTGAAATAATGAATAAAATAAATCAATATTAATATGGAAATAAAAATATATAATTTGCAATTGAAACATATTAAAATAATAAATATAATATATAGACATAAAAGCTATTTGAAATAATTTCCGTATCTATGTTAGTGAGACAAGTTTTTTAAAAACTTAAATTGGGTAATTTTAAATTCTGAATTTAATAAGTACTTTTATTAACTAGAAACAAAAAGCTTTGATTTTGCTGATAATAACTAGCTGTAATATGCAACTTACAAGCACATCAAAATTATTTTATTTCAGAGAAGAATAATTTTTTCCAATTATTACTATTGAAACTTTACAAATTTAATTGGAATGTTTTCATTTTGAAGAATATTTAATCTCATCAGAAATTTTCAAAATTTTATCAAAAACAAAAAATTAATATTTTTGATTTGAATAAGGTAAAATCTGATAAATAATAGGGAACAAGAAATTTTGAATTTTCGAAAATTATATGCTCGACTTTTGCTCATGAATAATTCATAAAAAATGATGAACTTTTATCAATCCTCTTGTTTCCCTTAATTTTAATATTAGTTAAAATTTTGTTCTTGAACTAATCTATTACACTAACTATTCATTTTAAAAATAATAGAGTTTTTAGGTCGGTGGAAAGCAAAGTGTTACAAGTTTTCTTCAACAGCGTTAAACATCAACACGTTCATCTTTTTGGAGAGTGTTCTCTACTGTTTCAAGATGTCATGCAGCTTTCAAGAAGATTTGTCGGTGGTAATACATATTATTACTTCACAGCCTAGCTAATAGTTATTTTCAAGGGATACAAATACTAAAGAAAGAAATGAACGTAAGTACTAACAAGCACAGCACTCCTGCATAAGGGTAAATTAACACTTACATGCACAACTATTGCAACCAGCGAGAGAGGAGTCTTGTAGGCTCTTACAGGCCTTTGATCGTTAAAGTTTTCTCTATCAGGTAGAAGAGATGTCACTTTCGTATAATGCACAAGTTTCACATTAACATTCACACGTTAGTTTATCATAAAAGAGTGTAAACTACAAAATTATTGAACAATGGTTTCTAAAATCAACCTGAATCTAAAAGTGAAAAACATAGTTTATCTATCACAGTATTATATATTGTATAATTATATTATCATGGTCATCATTTCATTTGATGATCGACTCAACCCAAGCCTCTGGAGTGTACCCAACCAGCCAAAACTTGCGAGGATTAGAATTTGATCTCAACCGCATGTGCTTCTGCGTTTAATGTGCTAATCACTTCACAGTCACGGTCATTGGACAGTTCAGGGTTACGACCGGGTCCATAAAAATACATTTCTTGTTGATTTTTTTGAAAATTCAAGTTTTAAAGAAGATGGCGCTTGTGCCATACAATTTAATAAACTATGCTCTGCACCAGCGTTTGCCAACTCGAAGAGAAATGACGTCGGATCGCCGTTCACCTCCCCGAAGAACCATTGGGAACAGGGGGAGGGGAGGGGCAGACGCGATCGCCGATAACGAAAGACAGTGAAAGAAAACCCCTATCTTGATCAGTTTTTTTTGTCCAGTTTCCCTGGTCCTTTGCGCAAATGCTGAGATGACCACTAGTTTGCTTCTGGACAATAAAAATAAAAGTATCTTCACTCGCTGCTCCCAAGATGTATGCGATTGTACTCCCTCTAAATATATCATATTTGACTCGTCATACATGATTGTAATTGAATATATGCTCAATAAATATTATTATTATTATTATTATTATTATTATTAGTGGGCCTTTGTCAATGTTGCAGGGAACATGAGAGGGAGACCATCTACAGCCTTTAATTTTCTTCCGGTTTGGGAAGAAAGGTTTTCTTTTGCAGATACCGTAACAATGGTGTCAGATTGTTAAAGAGTTCAACCGACAGAGGTATTACGGAGCTTTGAAACTCAGAGAAACCCACGAGATGAAAATAATTTCTGAGAATTTCCAGATAGCCTGCAATCATGAAATGAGAAAAGGATTTTGCATGTAGAAGATTATGAAAAAGGAATTGAATATCACGGGAATTTGCAACAATCTCAAATAAAACTGTACTATATAAATAATCAACTGTACTGTATAAATAATCAATAAAACTGTTGAGTCCAAATTCTCCCACGTGACCCCTCCCGGATATCTATTTGTTAACATTAACTGCATAGGCACACAAAATAAAAAGTTTTCACAACCAAAGATTTTATGCTTGATTCCCTAGGTATGTCGACGCGCTGAATTCGATTCCGAAGCCAGAATTGCGCCTCAACCTTCGTTTTTTAAACCGCGAAAAACAACCGTAAAATTGTAAATTTCATTGTTTTTTCGCAAATAAAAAAAGTACGAGGGTGGCGCACTTCTGGCTTCGGAATCAGCGCTTTGACGCACATAAAGAAACATGTGTCAAGTCTTAGGTCTGACAACAGCCCCTAAAAACAAAAAAAGAAAGTACAGTGTCATGGTGTTTTTTCCGTATGAAGAACTGGAGGGTGGTGGCGCAATTCTAGCATCAGATTCGGATTCGGATTCAGCGCATTGACATACATAGAGAAACGTGTGTCAACTCTTTGGGTCTGTTTTATTTTACTTATTTACAACTTTTTTTATTTTGTTTGTGTTATTGGTTCGGGACGAACTAAAATTTGCATAAAAATGTTATAAAATAAAAATAAAATATTGCATTAAAATGTTAATACTTCTCCGAAAATGTCATGTTTTAGAAGAATGGAAGTGGAATTACAGTACTGGTTACGATAAACAGAGTCGGATATTGCTTTGTGTTATGAAATAATCTACGTTCATTTTTTTTCATATTTTATTGAATTAGAAACATTTAAATAATAATTACCATTTAAAAACGTGATTATCGAGCGAACCTCTTTCCCCCCCACTTTCATACCATCATTGGAACGCTGTGCGCACACTGCCCGTCCGGCACTGCCTTTGCCGAAGGGCTTGGCTCCGAGCAGGAGAGCAGATTTTTGTGACGTAACGGAAAAGTGAGTAGCCAAGCTCTGCTTTAGACTGAGAAACAAGATTATGGAAAAACGTTGGGAGTCTTTCTGAGAAAAAAATTGTTGTGATAAATTATCCCGAGATTACTCGACACGTATATTTCAAAACAAATGTATCAACATGTAATTACTTAGAGATCTAATATTGATGTAGAGATTGCAATAAGAATTCTTTCTGTAGCTTGAGCTTTGATGGTGAGTGACGAGTGTCAAAGTGGCTGAACTATTGCAATTTAATGCTTTAATCAAAATCGGTAATACAGGGCATTCATGAGTGCTCTACTCGAAACTACAGTTCAAGAAAAGCTGGTGAACATTTTAGAATATTTTGAAAATTACCTCGTCGCTTCATGTGAAGAACGGCAAAAAATTAAACAAGATGAACGGATGGAGAGATGGACGTATTAACCGACATCTTAAAAACAAACACTTTCTATATAAGGGACCCTTGAAACCAGTATTTCCGTCAAGATCTTGACATCAATTTTTTGCATTACATCATTTTGTTCTATACTACCTTTGTACTCTGTATACTCGTACATGTAGTATACTATGAGAAAGTAAACTCCTGAGGCAATTTAAGCAGTGTGCTTGGCGACAATGAAAACTAAACCCACATCTACTATTGCTTTGTCAATGATGAAATGAATGATTTGTGGTATTGTGTTTGTTTAAACTGGAATTCATATCTTGTTGAGAGAATATTTTAGGATAAAGTGAATGAAAGGAAAATTACGAACGTTCTTATGAAAAGTTCGATGTTTTAGGGACAGGGTGATTAGCGAAGTGAAAAATAGTAGTTTGTCATTAGGGTATCAGGATCTAGAACAGTGATGATCTCAGATTAAATGAGAGTAGGTGAGCGCGTGAAAATAAAGTGTTAGTGCTTGAGTTACAGTTATTTTATTTCTTTTGAGTTCACTTTCTCGAAATGTAAAGCATTAAATTTTGAATTCTTTGATTCTTCAGTAGAAAATAAAATATGACCGTTGATAAACATTTGTACGTGTAGGTGGCTAATCTTTTACAAGGAAGAAGAGTGTTGTGTGCTTTCGAGGTGAAAGATAATTTGTATTGAAATGTATGTATCTTCTCTTTACTCATCGTCGTAGAGTAATAAATAGTAAATAATAATTCGTCGTAGTAATAAATTAATAAGGTATAAAAATATCCATATCTCGACACTTGCTCTAAAGTACTATATTTTTTTGTCATTTATGTACTGAAAACGAAACATTTCTTCATAAGAGCGATAATGTTTGCCTTTTTAGTGCAACGTTTGGAATATACTTTTTCCCCCTTTTTGCAGTTATATAACTCTAAAGGTGGTCGTTCTTCATGAACAGAGGTAAAATGTCCACTAAAACATTTGTGCTCGTAATTATTCCTTTAATTACCAACCTTTATAACACTGGTGTGTTTTATTCAATATCATACATAAATTGACTATCATATAAAGTATTGAATTTAAATTCTTATAAAAATCATTTAGAAATTGCAGTATACAGGATATTGCATTATACGAAATATTTTGTTTCTTTTAAAATGTTCCACGTTGAAAGGAGCAAACAAAAGTTAAAACTGTTTTTAAAAATAATTCCAAATTAAGATTTATGTGCCCCGCAAGTATTGCCAAAACTTCTCAGAACTCGAAACAAGTTACGGGAATATTCAGCATAAACATATCCATTAGGTTTTTCGCGCAAAGGCAACCGTTTTGTTAGCGATTCCTCTCTCGCTGGCTTGCCGTTTTTGACCCGAAACAAAAGTAAGGACGTTGTGAGGACTGGGCGAAAGGTGACTGAGCGCGTGCACAAGGGTCGAGGACAGACTGGAAGGGGGGAGGGGCAATGTGCTGACCTTCATGTTCTCCAGCTCGCTCTCTGCAACCTGCAGCTGCTGCAGGAGTTCCGGAACAGAAACTCTGCTGGGAGCTTTGTGGGCGAACTCCAGTACCTGCAGACAAAAACAATACATCAGCACAGTTTCACGGTACCCTAATGTGATGTTTTGCAAATTATTTTATATATATATTATATATTTAATTAATTATATTAATTATTATTGTTTATTCATTATATTATTATTATTTTATTATTTTATTATTATATTATTATTTTTGTTATTATTATTATCATTATTATTAGCCTTAGTAGGCCTTACTCTGACCACGCTACACGATAACTGCTGTAATTCCTTCAGGTATCAGCTTTCAGCTGTATCATTGGCAACAAGACAAGGTCCTGGTCTAGCGCTTGAAGTGTTGGATTCGATGACAGATTGATGATAGGTGAAGGGACCAATCCACATAATTACGACCATGTCTACTTGCAGGACTCGAACTGCAGCCTCCTCGTCACAAACGACGGCTTGCAACAACCGATCTGCGCACGGCGCGCCCGACATTTATTATTATTTTTATTATTATATTATTATATATTTTATTGAATTATTCTTATATTATTATTTATTATTATTATTATTTTATTAATTTACAGTCTATTATTAGAGTCACAGAGTATTTCAGAATAAATGCTACACATTTTTACGGCGATGTGGAGAGATCGATTGGTTTAGGTGGCCCAGGGTCTCTACAGATGCCACTTCCGAGCCTCGGACCAGGAGGTCCTATGTTCGTGTCCCGACGGTGGCAGGCGTTTTGACACTCGCTAAATAGCTAGATCGTATTCAGCCGCGGTGCGGAGGAGAATTCAAGCGGCCGGCTGCTCTGATCGGTAGTTTTCCGTAGATTCTCCTACCAACACGAGGCGAATGCTGGAGTAGTACCCTGACAAACGGGCTACGGATCGCGCACGATTTTCCCCACCTCCTTCTTTTCTATACTCATCCCTTACACTCACGTGCAGTACATTACCACACTTGTCGGGAAACCGGCTGGGAGCTTAGATCTTGTCCCAGATGGGGAGAGTAGTGGGAGATACGTGGTTGAAGGAAAACCAGCTAGCCGTCGTGTAGTTCGTCCGCAGATCTCTCGATCCGAAGGGGAAAGATAACGAACACATACAGCGGAAACATGACTATACTTACAGGACAAATGACAATAGCATTGGTGACGCGCCCGGAAACCAGAAATAAACGAACAAACAATAGAGGGGAGGGAAATGATCACGTTTTGCCAATGAACATCTAGGAAATCGCATCTATCTACATGCGATTATACATGAAGCATTTGCCCCTGATTTACAGGCAACCATGTGAACACAGATGTTTTGCAGGTCACGTCCTGAGGCTGTGTAGGAAATTTCATGTACTGGCGGGACATAGAGCATTTGGGGGTTTCTAACAAAGACAGTCAAAAGTCACACGTATAAAATGCATATTTCTTTATTACGTGTTGAATATACGAAATGATCAATCAATAACTAGTTAGTTTTGGATACTTGGCTGTCCGGGATGAGCCGCGTCTCAGTCGATTGAGCTGACGTTTCGGCCATCGTTTAATCAAAAAGGCCTTAGAAATCTCCAGGAGGCTTACAAACCTCAAGAGAGATAATGGGCTACGCCTTAGCAACACCTAGAGACGGCTCCCCGTCAATTCGGTCACCTCAAAGAGCCCCCCCCCCTAACGGACGGTCAATGACGTGGCTGCTCATTGGCCAGATTTCTTTTGGTTTTTTCCTTCGGTCCCCGACCACGCAGATTCTTTCTTGCGGATGTTCAACCTGTTCAGTTTTCTATCCTCTTCCCTTTCCGTCCCCTCTGCCTCCTCACTTTTTATTTGGTCTCCCGGGATCGCTCTTATCCCTCTCCGCCAATCGCGGGACACCTGTCCTTCTCCTTTTGGTCGCCGATACAGCCAATGGGCCCAGGCACCCTCTCCAGTTTTAATAGGACACGCTAGCCTCTCGGCAGTAGTGTAAGTGTGAATTCGTGGGAGAATGACAAAAGACGAAAAAGAAGGCACAAGAACAATATTAAGAACTTGAAATAATTTAAAATTACTTACACATAGTAAGCAGCAAACTCCAAAGAGGGTATATATTAGTTATAAGTTAGTTTTAGTTAAATTGTTTAAGAAGCCCTCGCAAAAGCCTAATCGACTGCAGAAAAAACTAATATAGTCCATAAAGCAAAATAAATTCCCGCCTCTCCAGGGTAACGAAAGAGGGGAAAACCGAAAGGAGAAAAAAAACTCGGCAGGAATATAGCCCTGAAGAAGGCCACAACACACGACGGCCGAAACGACAGCTCGATCGACTGAGACGCGGCCCACCGCGTGCATCCAAGTTTCCACTGACTGCGGCCGCGGGAGCCCTGTACAGAGTTAGTTTTTACTTCGTTCGCGGCGGGCCGCGCTCGCTCACCTGGTCTGCGTGCTCGAAGCGCGCCGCCTCCTGGCCTTTCATGTACATCTTGAGGTACATGCTCTTGTGGCGCTCCTCCTGCTCCGCGGCGGCGCGCCGCAGTCCCTCGGCCTCGCGCTCCAGCGCCCGCGCGCGCTCCTGCGCCCGCTCCAGCTCGCCGCGCACCGCGCAGTACCTGCGCACGCGCACGCGCACACACACGCTCACTCACTCACTCGCCTTCGCACCACCGCGCTTCCAAGCGCAACGAGGTATGCCGGAATAAATCGATACACTCACCCACCCCATATATACATACATACATATATATGTATATATACATATATATACATACATACATACATATATATATACATATATATACATACATATATATACATATATATATATATACATACATATATATACATATATATACATATACATATATATATACATATACATACACATACATATATATACACATATATATATATATATACACATACATATATACACACATTATATATATATATATATATACATACATACATACATATATACATATATCGTTTTTGTGTGTAACTTGGTAGTCGCATAATATAAATATCAACAGATGTTTCTATAAAACCTAATTGGTCCTAGTAACATCGATAAACGGTTCTATAAAATGTAGATGTAGAGAAGGAAATTTTACAGAACATTGATAACCATTCTATAAAAACTAGGTAGTCTTACAGAACGACAGAATATCCGTCGTTTCTATAGGAAGTAGGTAGTCCCAGAAACATCGATAGAAGACACTATAAATAATTTGGTAGTCGTTTAAAAATTGATAGAGGGTTGTTCACGAAGCAGTTAGTCCACGAAATAGCATTCATCTCTCTTTAAAAAAGTAAGGAGTCCTATAGAACATCTACTATGGTTTTCTAATAAAAACTAGTTCGCTCTAAAAACATCGATTAATGTTTCTGTAAAAAATTAGTAGTCCTACAGAATTTCGGTATGTATTTCTGCAAAAAGTAGAGAGATGTAGAAAACATTGATTGATTTTCTATACAAAGTAGGTGGTCCTAGAAAACATCGATTCATGTTTCTTTGAAAATGATGTAGTCCTAGAAAATATCGATTGATATTTATGTAAAAAGTAGATAGATCTAGAAAACATAGATTCTTGTTACTATAAGAATAAGATAGTTCTAGAAACATTCAATGATGTTCCTTTAAAAATTACGTAGTCTTAGAAAACATCGATTGAGGTCTATGTAAAACTAGGTAATGCTATGGAACATCGATTGATGTTTCTATTAAAGGCTAGGTAGTCCCAGCGAACATTAATAAGGGTTTCTATAAAAAAGTAGATAGTCCTAGAAAAAATCGTTAAATATGTCTATAAAAATCTATGTAAACCTAGAAACGATCGATAGACGTTTCTATTACAAAAACCTGTTTAAAACTTAGGTGTTTATAGAAATATCTGTGTTATGAAGAAACATTGATATTTTAAACATCAGTACACTAAGAATAATATTCAAACATCGATGCACTAATGTCAATGTTTTTAACATCCGTGTTTTGTGCTTGATGTTTTTATGCTTTATGTTTTGTTCATAAATAAAATATTTCTTTAATACAGAGATTTTTACAACGTTTATGTTTCTGTACAAAGTTAAATCTAGATTACGTAGTTAGATGTGTCTACAAAATCATTCGTAATCACAATTATGTAAAAGTTAAAATATCAACTAGTAACTGATGATGCCCCTACCAATTCATGTGGTCAAACGAAGCGAAAAATGTTTTTTCTACGTAAATTGACCAGAATATCACTATGACGAGAGATGACCTCGAATTATTTTGGAAAACAGCCATGGATGTTTCTATAAAACATTAATACATTAAAAACCAATGTTTTTAACATTGATGTTTCGTGCCCAATGTTCTTTTCGAATTATTGTTAGAGAATGAAAACAAATACAAATATGAGAGAATGAAATCATATACAAGTTTTTAAAACATCGATGTTTAAATGAAGACCTATATTGTCGTACAAAAGATTGACAAATGTTGAGAGAGAGAGAGAGAGAGAGAGAGAGAGGGAATGGTTGTTGGTGCCTGGTGAGAGAGAAAGAGAGTGTCAGTGTGTATCTGTGAGAGGGTAAGAGAGCGCTAGGGTTGAATGCACTGACTGGACGTTGCTGTGCGTGCGAGAATGA